GCCAAGTGACCCTATGTAGGGGGAACAGTCTCCATTCTGCTCTGTGTCAGTGTGTATCATGGTCTCTGAGGACAGGTGTCAATCCATACCTGCAAGTGACCCTATGTAGGGGGAACAGTCTCTATTCTGCTCTTTGTCAGTGCGTATCAGGGATCCTTAGGATAGGTGTCAATCCATATCTGCTAAGTGACCCTATGTAGGGGGACCAGTCCCTATTCTGCTCTGTGTCCGTGTGCATCAGGGGCTCTGAGGACAGGTGCCAATCCATATGTCAAGGTGTCAATATGTCATATGTCAGGTGTCAATCCATATTCATTGTGATTTAGGAATGTTAGGTGATTTCTGCCCTTTATGGATTAAAACCAGACCCTGTATCAACTGTGTAATTTTCCATGGGAGTTTTGCCATGGATCCCCCTCCGGCATGCCACAGTCCAGGTGTTAGTCCCCTTGAAACAACTTTTCCATCCCTATTGTGGCCAGAAAGAGTCCCTGTGTGTTTTAAAATTCGCCTCCCATTGAAGTCAATGGCGTTTCGGGCGGTTCGCCGGTTCGCGAACATTTGCGGAAGTTCGCGTTCGCCGTTCGCGAACCGAAAATTTCGGGTTCGCGACATCACTATATGTCTGTCTTATCAGCCATTGTGAATAATGGTTGATGGTAAATATCAACATGCTGCAGCTGCAGGCAGAAGATATTCTACAATTAAAGTCCAAATTAGTTTTTTGTAAAGAAAGAAAAAAAAACCCTCAAAAATGACAGCGTTGCTTTACAAGGTAAAAGACAATTGTTGCAATGGAGATCAGATGAACTGTTGCCCCCAAGCCACTAAAATACAGTGGCTGCAAGTGTGGCAGAAGGGCAATTGCCATCCACCCCAGGTCATTAGCATACAGTAGGTGTGGACCACAGCCTGACCTAATCATTCCTCTACTGATCAGCAAAATGAGAAGTATACCGGGATGTCAATTGGCAGAATATTGCAGGAGAGACAGGCAGAAACTGTGCATGGTATTTAGTAATGCACCACTGTGAACACTTATGTTTTGGCCAGTGTTCTACAATCTCATTATCTTCAGTACTGGACTGGCCCACAAGAGAATGCTGTATCCAGTGATGATCGGACTATCATTATTTAGTTTTTATGTAAAGGTGAGCTAAGACATTATTGCTTGTAAGATATCAAAAAGACATTAGCTAGTTACAAGCAAATAGTGCTTCTTGTGTGGCAAAGTGTGTAACTGGGTTGAAAAGAAGCGATCATTTACATTCTTTCTTTTAACTTTTGTTTAGGACTTGACCCCTACAAACAATGGATTTCTAATGTGACACACTCATTACTTTATTTCCACTTCATCAATAACAGTTTTATGTTATAGAGCAGAGGTGAAAGTTTGGGCAACCTCAACCCACATTCAATATAAGGTCCAAGACTCCTGTGACAAACTCCTCTTTTCAAGTGAGTTTGCCACGAGTTCTTGGAGGGGTCTACTTGCCAGCCTTTTACTCTGTGACTATGGCCCCTGCAATAGAACTGGCTAATATACTTCAAACAGGCTCTGTTCGTGCAATTAGGACTAGAGCTCATTCCTCATTTGGTTCCAGAACTCCCAGGACTGAGTGTCGTCCAGTGCCTGGGGGTGTCAGAGTTAGTTCCCCATTCAGCTCCAGGAAGGAGCGGTTCCAGGGCCCCAGTCAAGCCACTGCGACTGTGAGCAGAAGTGCTGCAGTTTGTCCCCTGTTCCAGCTAGGAAGTGGTCCTTGGCAGAGGTACCCAGCCAGGGGTACAGGGAGCTCCTTTACAACTCCAATGGTTTTGCTGTATACATGTTAAGCAATCTTAATTTATATATGTATTTCAGATTGTACTTTTTATATGTTAACGTGTGTATTTGTACATGTATTGTGTAAATGCATAGGTGAATTTGA